ACAACTCGCCATGTCTGCGCTGCCCTGGGTGGGCATGGAGGAGCCCGGCCCAGCGGCGAGGGCTCAGCTGCGGCCAGCAGCCTGGGTCTGTCTCCACGGCTCGCTCACTGGCCATGTGGCTATGGGCACAATGACCCCCCTCAGCTTCCCCACATGGACAGTGAGGTAGCTCTGCCCACCTACCCCGCACCTGAGGAAGAAAGGCCGGAAAGGCGGACAGAGCCCTTTGTGAGCAGAAAAAATGTGTTTGCGAATAAATGCAGTTTTAACCCTGAAATTTCCTTTCAGACCCCAGAACCAGTACTTGGCTAAGTGGACTTTGCTCCCAAGGGCAGTGCCATCCGCACGGTCCACTGGCCACCAGGCCCTGGGGACTCTTTCTCCAGCCTGGAGACTGAGGGCAGCCACCTCGGATTCCATCCACACGGGTCACTTTCAACCAGAAAGTCCACGTGGCAGGGTAGCCTCGTCAGCAAGGGGGTCCACGTCTGGGTCTGCACCGCCGGCTGGGTGAACCGTCAGAGGACCCATGAAGAGCGTGGTCAGGTGGGGGCTCTGCAGCTGCCCAGAGCTGGCCAGGGGGGACCAGCTCCCACCAGGGCCCGGGGACGGTCGGAGCAAAGCCAGATCTGGGATGGTGGGCCATGCGTCCCAGACGTTGCACGGACCATGTGCATGGGGTGCCGCCAGCTGGTTGGCAGCGTGGGGTCACTCTGCCGGCCACCTTACCGTGCGGACACAGTGCTGCGAGGCCACAGGACTTACCGGAAACGGGGGCTGAGCATGTGGAGAGTGACCGGGGATCCACAGCCCACAGCAAGGAACATCCCCGATTCCCCTCCTCTGCAGGGCTGGACTTGTCCTATGGGGTGGGGGAGCCTAAGACATCGAGGCCTGGCTGTGTCCCTGCTGCCCACTGGGTGTGTCACATTGTCCACAGGCCGCACTGTGCCGAGACCAGATGGTGCGTCCCTGCTGGGGGGCTTCACTCATGGGGGGCTTCACCCACGGGGGCATCTCCCGTCCAGGCACCCTGGCCTGGAGACCACAGCAGGGGTCTGGTCAGAGGCCACCCCCCTGCCGGGTCCTCACCTTCTCTCCCCTGACACTCCCCCCCACGGCCCCTCCATAAAGGCCCTCGGTCATCGCCCTGCTGTCCTTCCTGGAGCAAACCCTGCAGCTGTGGGACCCTGACCTTGGGCCAGGGGAGGCTGAACACGCCCGACTGGCCCCAGCAGAGGGTCCGACGGGCACAACCCAGGCCCTGACTGGCCAGAGGAGCCAGCAGGAGGCGGGTCCATCCACGGCCTCGCTCAGCCCACTCAGCTGCCCTGAGGTTCCCTCACAGCAGACGGAGGGCGGAGGGAGCAGAGAGGAGTGGGGGAAAAAGGAATTTTTTAAGGAGGAAGAAGGCACCGCCCTGGGACTGGGCTTAGGAGGCCTGCAAGGCAGAGGGGGCGCTGTTGCTCTACGGACAGGGAGGGGGGAGG